TTTGCAATGTTCTTCAACGGATCCTTTTCGTCCGCAGCATTAGATGTCCGGGATAGTATACCATCGAGCCATGCTTTCTCGTCCCATACGCAGGTTGTCGTGTTGTCGCACATGAGGAGATGCGATACTTCGGGCATGATACCTGCGGGCGATGCCTTGTAGGCCCAAACACAAGTGTCTGCCAACTTCCGACCGATCGTGACATGTTCGTCGTTCTGGAATAGCTTTCCGCCGAGGGCAAACATGCCACCTGTGTAGCATGCCAAGTGTTGCATCTCTGGGTCCAACGCCGTCGTCGCACCTTCGGCACGGACAAATCCTGACATGAGCATGTCGGAGTTCTCTGGGGTTGATGGCCTGAACAGGGCATATTTGGATGCCGTGTCCATCGCTCTCTCGTACATCTTGCGATAGATGGCGTCTTGACCACCGAGCAGCGCATATTGCTTGCCAATATACTCGTACGTTGAATCAGCCATACTCCCCAGGGTGAACCCACTGTCAGCAGTGAAGTCCGCAGTTCGAGCGTTGACAATGAGAGGCCACATGCCCGGTAGCTTGGTCTTGTCCTGCTGTTCTTCGAGAAGTCTGGTTACCCTGTTGACCGCGTCGTACCATTTCGGGTCCCCGGTCAATTGCGAGAGGCGTGTGAACTCCATGGTCAGACTTCCGATCTCCGCAAGGAGGACCTGCTCGTCCGCTACCTGTGGTTTGCCCTCGCCCGCTGCACGGAACTGCCATCGCGTGATTGGTAGGTGGTTGGGTGTATCGAATGCATGGTATAGCATCTCGCCCGCCTCCTTCGCCTTGTTCAACAACCTCTGGTCCCCGCTGAGCTCGAAAGCTGCCAGAAGACCACCCAAATGCCGTATGTTCGTCTCGAACACATTGATGTGGTCCAAATCGGTGTACCCAAAGTCGATCTGTTCGATATCCTTAATGGCGGACGAGAACTCCTCTTCAAATCCCATTATGTATAGTGTGTCGAGCGCGTCGATGAGGGTGGCCGCCCAGCCTCCAAAGTGATCCGCTGCCTCTCCGCTTATAGGTCGGACTTCGTCGTGCATCCATGCGTGGCTTCTGTAACTCTTCCAGCATTTCAGGAATTGTTTCTTAACCTCTTCCTTCCTCGTCTCGCGTATGTTCTTGGCCGTAGCATCTTCTTGTCCAAAGTTGAATTGTATGGGCGGTAAGGCTTTCGGTTCGCCGGCTGGTAGTGGAACGAGGGATTCGATGCGGTTTTTGAAGGGGACCTTCGTCCAATCGAAAGACTTGTACTTTTGCTCTTTCTTTGGTTGTTGGCTTTGCTGGCTCCCCGGGCCTTTGTCGGCGTTTACAGGCGCGTCGCCAGGCTGCTCGTATGGAAAGCTGAGGGACCAAAGCATGTACAGGAAGCCCACGGCGAGGACGGTGTATAGCCCATAGCGTCGCAAAAGCGCCATGGTGTATTACAAGAATTAAGTAAAAAGGGGTACAAAGAAGGGAAGAAGACGGACGCGCAAGACGATGTCTGCGCATTACGAACTGTGGGGAGGCTGATGACGGCGGTTCCTGCCAAGTCGGGAGGCGGCATCCTTGTCGTACACTGGACCCTGTACCTGATTACGCGCCGCTCTCCACGTCCGGACGCCCATCATTGCATCATCAAGACAAGTGCGACGGAGAATAGAATGCGATCCGAGATGCTGAGTTCGGAGCACGATAGCTAGCCCGAGGAAGCTTTAGTACGGTCATCATATTCACCTACTCGGCGCGCACCTTGATTTAACACGAAACTTATCAAGGGGATCGCGTACCACAACGTCAACATGCCTCAGATACATTCTGTCCAAGGCCACTGATGATGTTTGGAGCATATTCGAGTCACAATGGCAATGTTAGCTTCATCTTCGATACATAGCGACGCACCTCACCCCCTTGGTGAATTTCATCCACGTATGATTTGACATGTTTTTTTTTCTCTGTTATGTACATCTGGACTCAGCTTCTATGACAGCGAGAGATTTGTATGTGACACCCGCAATTGTTATTGCAACTGCGCAATGGTCGTCTGTGTCTTCTGCTATGTTCATTCCTTCCTACTTAGACTCTGCTGGTGGCAGCATGACGACGTACTCCCTCTCACTGCCTCCAAATTTGAGTATGTCCTTGTCCCTCAGCTCAAAGTAGCGACTCGCCTCGAGATCCTCTCCGTTGAGCTCTGTGCCATTACTGCTTTCCAGGTCAATGATGTAGGGCTTGACCTTTCCCTTGTGGCTCTTGACACCGAATTCGTCTTCAACCGTCTTTTGTATGTACCGAAACTGGATGACTGCGTGCTGTCCACTTGAGCTAGGGTGGTCGAGAACGTAATCGGCGACTTCCCGAGATCGTCCCAGTAGCCAACAGCTCTTGTTCCAGAGTTCGATGGTCTCTAGCACATCGTCGCCCTTGAACACGAAGATGCGCCAGGGTTGTGAAGCGGGCGGTTTGCGTGCCTCGGGCGGCTCGTGGTACTTGAGGGAGATCTTGGTGCCTTCTACGCGGTTGGCAGCTTTGGCTAGCGCGCCAGTAGGCTTGAAGTTGGGCTTCTCCTTGTCAGGCGGTGCGCCGCCATACTTGGAGGGTGGTTGGGCCGAGTCGTCAAGCCCCCGGAAGGAGACTTCTTGTGAAGGTAGCGGTTGTTTGGCCCGCTTGTGGGGCGGCGGTGAGCGCGAGGGCGATGGAGAGCGTGTGCGCCGGTGACGTTTGGGCGGTGGAGATGTGGATGCAGAGGGCGAGCGGGTGCGCGGCTTGCGAGAACGGTACGGTATGGGCGAGCGTGAACGTCTGCCCTCTTTGGACTTGTCGCGGCGGCGTCGCTCTCTGGACCGCGAGCGATCTCGCCGGCTGTGTCTGTCCGTAGAGCGATCGCGCTTTCTGTTCCTGTCTCCGTCCTTCTCGTGGGAGCGATCGCGCCTTCTGTCCCTCGAGCGATCTCTCTTTCCGTCGCCCGATCTTTCTCGCCTCTTGTCGCGTGACCGGTCTCGTCGCCTGTCTCTGGATCGGTCCTTCCTCCGCTCTCTTGATCCATCGCGCGTCTTCTCTCTGGAGGAGCCTCGTGGCTTCCTGTATGGTTCCGGCGACCGTTCCCGCCTGCGGACAGCGCTTGGCTCGACTATCGTGGCCTTTGGCTCACGGGCGTTCGGTACGTCCTCGGGCTTCCTCTCTCTCGATCGACTTCTTGAGCGGCGACCAGATGCTATCGAAGGCTCCTTCCCAACGCGTTCGGATCCATGTCTCGACAACCTGCTCGGGCTTCCGTTCCTGCTTGCGACTGCCGAGGGCGAGGCAGTCTGGCCTTGGACTAGCTGTTGCGTAAGCAGCCGTCGCGCGCTGTAGGGCGACAGGTCTCTCGCCATATCGGGCCCGATTGCTGAGCACTGGGGCGCAGTCGCGGTGTCGAGATTGGGGGCGCAATGACGATCCCAACTTTTTCTCTAGTGGCTGGTGGATACAGCCAACGTCAACGGGCTTCCTGGGGGCGGTGCCAAGTCGCCTGCACTGCGGTGGTAGCCGGCTAGACCATTACACCGTAATTAGTAGTGGGCTGCGCAAAGAAGCAGAAAGGAATGTGACTAGTACGCAATAGCCGGTTAGCGATTGAAGCTGTCGGTCGCGACTTCCCCAGAGGCCCAAGCTTCCTGCAACTTCGTCACGGCGTCGCGCTACCGCGCCTCATCTTCATCTCGTCTATTCGCTGCATGTACACGGCGGCGCCACTATCCACTCCAAGGCGCCTATGTATACGATATGCAAGGAGCTTGTGTTTCTCTCCCACCCAGTCGGCCCATTTGGCCCCTGCAGCAGCGTCTTCAGCCGGATCCAGACAGGTACGGCGTGGTTTGCGGCCCCGAAACATGACAGCGGGCGTTATGAAGGCGGCCAAGATGGGCGCCTTGCAAACGTAGCCAAACCATCGTCCCAGTGCCCGCAAACTCTCTGGCGATTGCCTTTCCGCCTATCTCTCTCTCTTCGCACCATATCGTAGCCCGAGCGCCTGTAGTTTCCATCCTATCTTCATGCCTCCGCTGTATTGCTGCCACTGAGTGCGGCGTGCGCAACGATCGCGCAATGCCGTCCAAGCGAATCCTTTCCTGGTCAAAACGCCAGTCTAGTTCGGAGCCCTACTATCGCACTGGGGGGTTGCTATCGATTGAGTCGATTGAGCCCGAGTCCAACACCGACGTTGAAGCAAAGGTACGATAACAGGCACAGAACCATGTCAGTGCGCTGCCAAAGACAACGGCATCTTATGCACAACGAGACGACCCGTACACCAATGTCAGCGACCGTCTGGAAGTCGGTGTCTGCAGCTGTCTTGTGGTGCCTTACCATTCGCTAATCATCTCTTCCAGACTACGCTGAAAGTTGAAAAACGACGTTCAACTAACCTCGTCATCTTTCCATCGGACGACAGACAACATGTATCCAGTCCTATCACACCCCAGTACGATACAGCCGTGTTCAAGACTGTCACGACCCTCCAGACTGCGTCTAGCGACATGTTGCGCTCTCCGGTGCCCAGTACGATTGCATGCTCGAGATCTGCCTCCATAGAAAAGCCTCTGCCCAGTCGCCCACGGTCCGCCTCGGTACCATCGATTGCAGAGCTACCCGCTGAGCTCCCTGGTTCTCTTCTCTTAGAGAATCAAGGGTTTCCATCCTGTACGACTCCAGTGTCCGTCCAACCCACAATCCAGCTCTTTCGAAGGGAGAGTCACCCACCTGACAAGCGCTTGAGCCACGGGGGTACATGCTTGAATGCATTGGATTTGGTCCCGTCACCATTGAATCATACGAGAAGCGTTCCAGAACTAAGCTCGCGGTATAGCATCATGAGAAATGTTCCTACCAGCGATGCACTTGATTCACGTGTTATGGCCCAAGCCGGCCTACCAGCGGCATTGGATGACAAGTGTTTGAACAAAACCGGAATGCGGAGACGTTCGAGACCGGACCTGATTACTGCGCTCTCTGCCATGGACGGAAAGGTTTCGACAAACAGAAGCGACAGGCGTGGTTCTAGTCAGATGCGGCAGGTCCAAGAGAAGAAAGTACGTGATCGGGATACCGAAAAGCGCCGACGCAGCAGTCAAAATGAAGTGAGTGCTGTTTGTTTCTTGATAGAGGCGTGTTTACTGGACAAACAAGAAGACTGCATAACGAAACAGTTTCAGAAGTTCTTTGTGTACCATCTCCAACTCTGATGCGACGATGTGTGCCTGAGTTAGATGTACTTCTCTGCCGTTAGGCCATGGCATCTGGCTGCTCGCTGGCAATGTATTGTTGTATCCATGGATCCGAGGCCTGGCAGGCGAATAGTGGTGGTGTCAGGTTTCACATTTTCATGTTGCGCGGGCGGCACTTGCACAAACCGTCACCACTCTAGTCTCATCGCCATGCCTCTTTCTCTGCCTCGTAATGGCCAATTCGGGCCGTTTCAGCTGCCCAGCATGTATTGCATCCAAATACTAACTATACCCAGGCGTCTACTGCGACCAATTCATCGACGCGCAGCAGCCAGATCGACGAGCTAAAAGCGATCATTGCCACACAGAACCAGACAAACTCCGTCCTACAATCTCAGTTCGCCGCCTTGAGATCGTCGCACGAAGCACAAGTTGCAAGCCTCGTGGACGCACACTCTGCGGAGGTTGCATCTTTGAAAGATCACATTCGGTTGCTTCAGGAGCAGAACAGCAAGCACGGCCTGCACCAGGGTGAGTACCCTTCCAAGTATTCCTGCTCAGTCCACCACTATACTTCACTGCTTTGTGAAGACGATCTCTCTCAACGGGTTAGATCGATCAGTAGGGCTTTTCGAGCTGTGCATCCGTGACACCAGCTATCAGTTCAGCATGCTAAACGTGTCTAGTGTCGAGGAACAATACTTCGCTTGTCTCGGATAGCGCTGAGCTGCCACACACGTCGATTCGCGAAACCCCGCCGATTGCTGAAGACCCCGACTTTGTCTGTCCGGTCGAATCTGAAAGCAAACAGCGTTCACACCGGCGATCAGAAAGCAGCCCAGAGATGGTAATGATACACCCGCTCTCCTTCTGAAACCGACTGCTAATTTGGACTGCCAGGAGAGCTTGAAGCGGAAGCTCAGCGCCACACGTCGACCAGAAATGACAACTCGGAACCTGCTTCCAGAGCTCAATCAGTACAGACAAAACAATGTTGCTCTCCAACAGCAGATCGAATCATTGATGGCGAAGTTGAACGAATCGAAGAAAAGCGAGAGAGAGCTTCGTTCAACACTAGGACTGACCGAGATGAGATGTGCTGAATTCGAGGACAAGGCAACGCACGCTGACAAGCTTGCCAAATCCACGCAGGCTCTGCAAAACACCATTGATCATCTCGAGAGCCGCCTCGAGATCGCCAACACTGAACGACTGGACGCGGAAGAGCAACTTTCGAATCTGATAAACGGGAAATCACCCTTCGACCTCATCTCAAAAGGACCACCTAGTACGAGCGACCCAGCTTCCGATGGACGTATGAGTATGAGTACGGTCTTCTCGAGCGCTTCGCCTATCAGTTCAGAGCTTGACTCGCAAGAGAACGCGACGCTAGCTTCTTTTGTTGCGCACATTGAGCGTCTGCAAGACCAGGTCAGGGAGAAAGATCGTCGCATTGCGAAACTGGAGAAAGAGCGAGAACAGCTACGACGGGCACACAGCGAGCTAGAACAAGAGCACAAGAAAACTGCCGGTCGTTCAGGCACACACCACCCAGACACGCATATGGAAAGACTTCGAGCCGCAATCTTGAATCGCGAATCCGTAATTGAGCATCATAAACTCTTGTTGCAAGCGGAAATCAGACGGCATGCGGCAATGAAGCTTCACATGGCTGGGGAAGGGGAAGACAGCTGGCCGGAGCTTGCCTCCATTGCGAGACGGGAAGACATCGATAGGTGGATGGATAGGCTCCACGAGCGCTTGAGGAGGGAGCAATCTAAACAGAAGGGAAAGGCTCTTGCCGATACTCCGGATGTGCAGATAGAGAGCTTGCGACAGGAGATCGACTTCTACGTTAGGGAAATTATTCTCTTCAAGCTCGACATCAAAGGTTACAAGAGCGACATTCGAAAGCTGAAGAAAATCACTGCGCAAATGGAAGCTTACGGCCGGACGAGCGATCTGGAATCTGAAGCATGTTCTCTCAGGCCAACAGCTACACCTGTCCCCTCGTATTTCCCGCCGACCACACCAGAGCTCGATGGCGCCAGTGTTGTCTCGCCTGCTATAGACGAAGGTCATATTGTGACTGCCCTGGGAGGATCCCCGGTTGCTATCTCCCCATTAGCTCCCTCGCGCGATCGGGACCGCGTCTTCATGGCACCAAGAAACTCACGCGAGCTCGACATACCAGCAACATTATATGAGGTGGCGCATAAGGATGACTACGCAACCGGAGCTGATCTCATGAGTGCGGGGGCCTCTTCAAACTTGGTCTTACCGCGGACAGCTACGGTATGTGCGCGCTGACGGTGTTAAGAGCCCAGCGTCTAACTCACCCAGTGCAGCGAACTTATCACAAGCTTCCCATCACCCAACTCAGCTGTACCACATCAGCGCGTTATACACAAACGTAGTATGAGTGAACCATCACTTGGGGCGTATCAGACCTCCCACGGAGACCATGGACCGATTGCGGAACGAGTGGAAGGTATAGAAGGATGCTACTTGAAGGCACCAGTGAATCGCAGACGCTCGACATCCAGCGCGCACATTGCGCAAATATTGTCAGCGAATGTATTCGCCGAGCGAACTTCGCCAGCTCTTTTCTCGCCAGATCCTCAAACAGCCTCTTCACACAACGATGCTACGCAGCCCTCGCTTCAATCTGAACGACGACACAGCACTGCTTCATCGTCAAGCATGCCTGTCGTCCCATCTGTGGGTCCACCACGCAAGTCAGCTCTGAAAACCCCATTCGCTGCCACTATGCCAATGAGCTGTTCCATCACCCGCAATGCGCCGTTCAGCACAGCTTGGCCAACATCTCGAACAGGTATCGGCGGAACTATGGCATCGAAACCGATGACATCACCAGTCCCAGACATCGCTTCCACGTATTTGATCCCAGCTCGCACGCGTAGCCTCGCAGCTACGAGGCAGCAAGACCAGGCCACAAGTTCGCTCAGAACGCCTTCACACTCGCGCAACGTGAGTGGAAGCAGTATCCGTACCGTGATCCGTACCTGAAAACCTGGCGAGGGGTAAGGGTAGAGAGCTAGGTATGGATAACGTTTGGAGGGTGGGAGGTATTAGTATATGCAGAGCTAATACATCGATATCTGGTCCTGGTGGTTACGCATGGTCTTGTTATGGCCCCTCAGTCTAGAGTACATGGAGCCATCAGCTTCAAACTAGGTACTGCTGAACAATTATGGTAATTACGTTAAGAACGTGGATCTCGTTGCACATCACGCACTGTATCGTGTATTCTCCATTGCCGGCGTGATGGCTGCTTCATTCGCCGCGCCGAGTGGAGCCATGTCGAATGAGGAAATGATCCGTGTGTCTCACGCGTTGCGCCTCAACGCGCTTGCGCTGCACATCTGCGCAACTGCATTCTCGAGTAAAGTCCATTCATATCCTCTTGCTCTTATCGAAATCACACGTCCGATGACGTTTTGCAGATGGAGGTACTGCCTTGCCCCATGAGGAACAGCAAGGCCGATGAGCTTCACATGGGGTCGAGAGCCATGTGGAGTGTCACTAGTCATTGTGCAGAGCACCCATGGTGAACTATACATTTCTACTCAGGATCGTTGAGCTAACATAGATCAGATGATATTCTTAGGTTCTTCTCGGCTATATCACTCGTCAACGCTACCAGAGGATGTGGCCACCGGTTTTCCCTTCAACCCGACTTCAGCGATCGACCGGACACATCCAGGACGATAGGGGATACGTTCATGTCATGAAAAGTAGCGCAGTCTGCGCAGCAAGATGTGGAAATTATGTTCTTGCCTGAGAGCCCAGCTTGAGGGTGCTTTCCCCGACCACCGCGTCGTGCATGTAACGGGCGCCACGTTCCCAACTCACCACGGACTCAACAAGTATTTTAAAGACTGAGCATATGCACTTCCCGTTCCCATTACTTGGGTAAATTCTCCGCATTGTCGCACCGTGCGTCACCCTCGTTTCCTTATCCCGAGTCTGCTCAATATGGCTTTGGTACCAAACGACTGCGCCAACTTCCACGTTCACTTTCACTTTGACTACAACGCTCAATCTAGGACGTCTTAGCTCAGCTAGCGTGACGTGAAATTAATTGTGTATCCGCTCGCTAGGCTGCTCTACCTTTCGTTTCCTTCTGTGCTCCTACTCCACTGTTGCGACAATACCCAGCAACGCACGTCAGCACATCAGCTTCCCACTTTACCTAAACATCTCGGCATCTTTCAACATGGCTCGTGTCAAAGTAGCACCAAAGAAGGCGTATGAAGAGCCTCGTATCGACTCAGGCGCAGCGCTCTCAGACCCTGCCGTACCCTCCGATGGACCCGCGCCGAATGGGTAAGCGTGTATTCACAAGATACCAGACAGACCAAGCTAAGAATATCAATAGCACTCTCGTAATGCCCATCCTCCTAAAGACGGATTGGGACCTCGGTGCTCCCAAGGCTCGCCTCCGTAAAAATGATCTCCAGCTGCGCCAACCGAAGGGCTTTCCCATTAAACCACTCAAGATCACACTCGACCGCGCTCGCAAAGAGGCAGCAATGAAGGCTCTAGCTAAGAATTGTGTCGATTCAGACTTTGAAGCCTACGAGGAGTTGGAAAAGGTTGGCGAGGTCAAGAAAGAAATCGAGGTTGAAGGGAAAGATGATGATGAGGAAGCGGAAGCGGAAGATACAGCAGATGAAGAATTAGAGGGTTCCGTGTACGACAGTGCGGACGGCAGCGCAAATGACAGCAACGATTCCTACGAGCTTCCAGCTACCAGAGTTGTCACCGAGAAGTCTGCTGCGCTTGTCGACAGTCGCGGACGGACTCGAGCAGCTACAAATCGACGCAAGGCTCAAGAGGTATCTGATGCCACCTTTCAGACGAGCGTCTAAAATGAGATGGGGAGAACGCGACAGTGGACGAGAAGGAGCGCATACGAAATGATAAGCGGGCGATGAAGAAGTCAATTTGAGGCTCGAAGTCGCGTCTTGGGAAGTTCGCTGCATTGCGCGGCAGAACACGCATGTAGGCGATGTGGCTCGGATGTATCTCGGCATGTAAGCACTGGCGGACATCTTGGATGGGCTCGGCATCTTAGTAACCAATGATGTTACAGCAGGAGCAATTACCATATCAATGCGTCTTTAGTATTGTGCGATCTGTCAAAGCATTCACTGGAATGTAGTGATGAGTGTGCCTTGCAAACGCCCTGCTTGGCGCAAATGGGCCGAAATCCGGCATCAAACGCTAACCGAAAGCGGATCTCAAGGTTCGCAACCACGTGTGAGCGCGTATGCGAAACCCTGGGAGAGTCCGCTGCAGCCCCTCCATTACCCACACAGCTGCCTCCCCCAACTACTTGACGAGTGCTTCGCACCCCTTCCCGCTGTTGTCTCTTACTCACTTTTAAGCCCAACCCCACCATTCCGCCAACAACCCGTGGACACTTCAAGACCATTGCGATAGGAGCGGACGGTAGCTGTATCAGCGCGCTATCTTCTGCTTCTGTCAAAATGACCACCGAAGCCCAGAAACTGCTTCTAAAAGAATGGGCCAAGGACACCAATCATGTCGTTGATGACAACAATTCACCCAAGGCCGAGTTCGCGCGCCTGGCAAAGGCAAAGGGATGGACCGGCGGAGATACCGAATGGTGTCATCACTGGGAAGCGTGTTTCGATGAGACATATACATGGGGAGTTCGTCGTAAGTTCAGCTCGCTCCGCATAATGCATGTTTGATGATGCTTCCTTGATGATGCGAGGAAGTTGGAAAGGCGGTGTCCAGCAAACCATTACTAATGCATGGCATCAGACAAGTCAACAACAACCGATAGCACTGCAGTCAAGAAAGTGACTGCTCAAACTGGTGGGATCGATCTCACAGACCGCATGCGAAGTCTCTCTATTGGTTCCGATACGTCGTCTTTCTCGGTCATCTCACGTACGTCGGCGAATTCTTTCGAAAGTGTGAGGTCGATCAACAGCGACCAGTCACACGAAGCCGAAGGTCTTTCCACCAGCCCACAACCTCCACCGAACCCAGAAGTCTCGGATAGCACCGACTTACAAAACAGCGTACTGTCTCTTGATACGGTCAAGTCCCTGGAGGAAATTTCTGGGGGCGTTGAGATCCCGGACACGGCTTCAGAACACAGCGATGCTGAGTCAGAGGCTTCATCGCTAGAGCTGGACGAAAACCCAGCGTGGAGTGAATACACCAACTTCGTGCACCGCCCAGATGCGTCCTTTCAGTCAGAGTTCGAACGTCTGGCTCGCACCAAAGGTTGGGTGGGACGTATCAAACGCCAGCACCTAGTCGAGCTGCTCACTAGCGAGGTTGAGTTCTACTGGGGTGCGGACGACGTTGACAAGCTTGAATATTACCAGTTCCTATGTCAAGAGATGGGCGTCAAGCAGATCCCTTTGACTGTTACCCAGGCGAAGAACGTAAGCACATCATCTATGAGCCCACGCAAAAGTACGCCGCTGACAATAAATAGGCGCTTCGGCCTCTCAAAGTCAACCTTTATAGCGTCATCGACCACATGCGCAACCCGGAGATCAAGGTCATCACATACAAGACTATCCGCGAGCTTCGCCAAAGCGTCCGCAAGAAGGGCACCTTTCCGAGGCAATGTGCTAAGGCTGGTGAAGGCTGCATGGCCGCTTTGCTGTCCAAGTTGTAGTTGCATTGATCTATCTGGATTTGCAAGGGTAATCAGACATGCGTGTGGCTTCTCACATCTAGGCATTTCATGGTACATCTGATTCTGGGAACAAGATGGTGCTCGCGATGGTATGCAGCCTCTCGTTGGAGTGACGACCAAACGTCATAAACTCGGCACGTGGTTACCGTTCTTGTCCAATCAATCTGATTAATTTTGAAACTTCATCTCGTTCTGCAGTGACAAAACGGTGTGTGTAGAAGCTTCTCGCATTTCTATCATGCCAATCGCGTGCCTTCACCGTTCACCGATCTTGAGGTGTCGCTCAATCTTCACCGCTCACGCACTCTGTTAGTACGCTTTTGATAGATATCTTGCCCTTCTTTTTGGTCCACCTCTTTGACTTCCTCTAAGTCACGACACACCCCGCAGCCGTCAACGCAAGTGACTACGACAGCAACTCACCATGGCTTCGAAAGTAATCGCTTCAAATGCCCAGAAGTCGCTATTTCGCAACTGGGCGCAGGACAGCATCTTCATACTCGATATCCACGATTCTACCAAGCGCCAATTCTGTCTTCTAGCCAAGATGATGGGTTGGGTCGGCGGAGAAGAGACGTGGAATGACCACTGGCATGAGTGCTTCGGCGAGGTCTACATCTGGCGCGCTTTCGGTGAGTAGACAGTGTTTGACTTGACAACAAAACTGACAGATCCCAGGTTCTCTGTCAACTTCCTCCGACCCAGCTACCAATGTTGTTCCCGAGGATGCTGCTGGTACTTCGGTGTCAAATGCTACGTCCACTCCAAGGGACAGTGGCGGCGTTCGTGCGAGCGACATCTGGTATCAGTTCAACGGTTTCATCCCCAATTCTTCAACGAGCTTCAACAATGAGTTCTCGAGATTGTGCAGACACATGCGCTGGAGTCGTGAAGAGCGTCGCAGGGCCAGGGTTGAGATCTTCGATGCCGATTGGGAAGCCCACATAGGCAGCGATCTGGGTGATCTAGCTCGTTGGCAGGACTTCTGTCGCATTTGCGGCATTAATCCAATCCCAGATAGTATCCCTGGCTGCATGGAGGTATGCGCACCTTCCATCACATGCAGGATATGAGCTCACTTTCGAACAGGCTTTAGAGAACGTCTTGGTTAACATCTATGATCTCCTCGACTCTCAACGCAATGGCGCGGTCGTCACGCCCTTTGAAAGCTTCGTGGAGTTTCGAGACTACACTTACGACGATCGTATGTATCCCATCGAGGAAGCGAAGGTGGACACGTTCTTGCCGGTCTTCCTGAAGAAGCTTTTCCCTCAGCAAAGTGGATAGACGGAGACACTACATCTGTCCTGGCTGTTGCAGCTCACGTTTGGCTTTACAGTCAGCTCGAGTTATGTTTCAGCTCTTGCACCGAGCTTGTCGTAATTGAGCTATTCGAAGGCTGGCCAGCTACCTCTTTTGCATCCTCGCAGATTGACAAGCGAATGGCAGAGATAGCCTTCAATCACAAGGCTAAAGAACAAGACGATCGTCTGCGAGTACCAATAGTAATGGATTGATCGTGTTCACCCTGCTGTACTCATATGCGTGTATGCGGCACAGTGACTTCCCGTCCAGCAGCCAGCCGATGTGGTCATTGTCCGCTCATTGACGATAGCTTGGAGCCACTGACTGTAGCATTGAATTACATGCATCTATACCTGTAGAGAATGCTATTAGTATGTTCCAGCTCGTTGCCGACGTGGCGCCAGGCATCTCGGGTCTTCCACGTCCTCAATGGTCCGATTGTCTGCTTATCTCGGTTTGCTGCAGCTTCCCATATGCACCAGATTATCGATTTAAGGAGTCTAGGTTCATTGCCACCGCACTAGAACCTCATTGTCCGTACGAGACTCTCCATCATGTCCCATCGTCATAAAGGCCACGCTAGTGAGTATGCTACCGTGACATCCTACGAGACACACTCTAATCGATGTCTTTAGAATCTGCAGCCTCTGCTGCGACCGCGAACGCCTCGAATGCCCAGAATAATGGTCAGACTGCCATATGGTTCCAGAAGTTTGCACCCTTCGTATATGACACAAGCGCCAGCACCTGGAGTAACTTCGATCGTCTCGCCTCAAAGCGCAACTGGGGTGATAAACTCCGAAGAAAGCAGTGGACCAATTTTCAAGTGGTCTTAGTGGCGTCAAACCATGCTGACGCGGACGATGATGCTCATACCGACACCCCAACCCAGGGCGGCGCATGGTTCCAGCAGTTCGAAAATTTCGTACACGATCCAACGGTCGGAATCAGGAGCAATTTCGAGCGTCTAGCAGCACAACGCAGCTGGGGCAACAGACTGAAGCAGAGGCGTTGGGCTGAATGTCAGGAGGAGGAATTCGGCTATGCATATGGAACGAATACAACAAAGCTAGAGATCTGGCAGAGGCTATGTCGTGAGGTGCACATCAGCGATCCACCAGACAGTATAACACAGTGTAGACAGGTAAGGAGAGTTGTAAGCGATGCAAAGTCTGCTGCTAACCGTGGGGAGGTGCTTGGCAGCCGAAACGTCCTGGTCAATCTGATGAACCTTATTGACCATCGTAACATCGGCGTGGAAGTGATCCGATTCCAAAACTACTCCAAGTTCCGAGCGTACACATGTCCGAAAAGGGTGTTTCCTTTGAGGAAGGCGAAGGAAGATGGCTTCATCAAGGCGTTGTTAAGGAAGTTGTGATGGAGGCCGGAGTAATCCGCGTGGGCCGTAATTGCACTTGCAAACAGAAGCAATATCAGGGGTTGCAACACCAGATGCGTGCGACGAATAATGGAACTAAAAGATAGTTGCTTATCCGTATGACTCAGCACCCGCTTGGCGACACGTAAACATTGTGTTTACACTTTCTAGTCCTTTCTTTTCTTCGTGTGCACAACAGTCCCAACGTCGCTCTTGGTTAGTGTCGCGCGATACTCCGGAAACCACCTGGGCACTATTGGCGACTGCCGCAGTTCCGCGCAATACTGACCCTGCACGATGGTTCGCGGAAGTCGCGCTAGTGAGTAGCGTACATAAACAAGCAATAGCGATATGCTCACATTGAACAGAGGGAGGCGTCTCCATTGTACCTGAAGCTGGGACAACTGCTTCTCCTTCCTCGAGCGACCGTAGCACTCCTCCTCCAAGCGACGACGGTACCTCTGATGAAGTTCGTGACTATTTCTCGCAAGAAAAGTTTAATGGATTTGTCCCAGACCCTGAGGACGATCTCATAGCGAAACTCAGCAAGCTTTCGATCCACCAAGGTTGGTCCAAGAGTGAGGCGAAGCGTCGTCGCGCGGAGGTTGTTGAGTTCGAGGTGTCTCGACACTACGGCCCCGACAAGTCGAAACTGGAAAACTGGCAGAAGCTGTGTCGTGATGTCAAGATCGAACCTGTACCGCCTTCTATAACACAGTGCAAAAAGGTTACGCTTTTTCTCCACAGTCGCATAGTTCTGCTGACGTATCCTCGTAGGCTCTTTCACGCGTCTATGTCAACATCTTCAACATCCTGGACCATCTAGACAATCCCCAGCGCTACGATGTCATTGTATTCAAGAACTACAAGCTCTTCCGTGCATATACGCTCAAGAGCCGCATCTTCCCTTTGGATCAGGCTAAGGAGGACGGCTTTGTCAAGGCTCTGCTTCGCCCGCTCTATATGAAGAGGAAGTAGTAGCAGCATTGGCGCTTCAGGAAATTTGGATGCAATGGGTATTTGGATTGTCGGATGGAGTTATTGGTGGCCTTGTAATGCTTCTTTCTTGACTCGTTCTCGTCTGCGTGGCGTGAGTGGGGATGTAAGCAAAGGCGCGGCTATCCGGCTGCGAGGGTGCAGGTGACCTGGGCACCATCCTTGATGGGATTACACGTCCACGCAGTAGTTAGAGTCGCTGATCTAAACGATGTTGGTGTAATATGTTTGGGGACGCATGTGAAGTCAGGACTAGTAGGCGAGATGTTCGGAGGCCTTGCCCGTCACAGCCGTAGTGCAGCTTAGCGAGGCCTAAACAAAGCTCACCCCGTGGTATCCCCCGCTCTGCACAACTCACCCGTATCGTCGATCTGGTGGTATATCCCTCAAGGCAAACAACCTTCACCATGCGCTGCCGGTCGCGCTTACCCCAGGCGGCGAAGGCAATGTGGCCTTGCGCGCCCCTCCATCCCCCGTAGAAGTTGCAACGACCAACTCAGCAACCCTCGCGACCAAACACGAATCCCAACGCATACGATGCAGCAGGAGAATGAGCGCATGAAGCTCAAAGATGGCCGGACCCTCTCCTACGCCATCTACGGCAGCCCGATGCCACAGAAGACGATAGTCTTCATGCATGGCTGCCAATCCTCGCGCTACGAAGGCAAGCTATGGCACTCGGCCTGCGCCCTACACAGCGTCCGCATCATCGCGCCCGACCGTCCTGGCAGCGGCCAGTCGACCTTCCAGATCAATCGTCGCATGCTCGATTGGCCTACCGACGTGCTCGCCCTGGTAGACCACCTTAAGATCCACAACTTCTACGTACTGGGCGTATCGGGAGGCGCGCCCTATGCACTGGCTTGTGTCAAGGAGGTGTCAAGGGACCGTCTACTAGGAGCCAGCATCGTCAGCGGTCTCTATCCAATCAAGTTCGGCACAGCTGGCATGTTGCTACCTTCGCGCATCGTCCTCTGGGCAGCGCCGTGGGTCAACGGGCTGACCACCACGCTGTTCGAGAGCACCATCGGTAAGCCAAGTCGCGATGACGACCCGAAAGTCCTCGAGGACATCATTGCCAAGGAGATCCGGAGCCGTCACCCCGCCGACCAAGAAGCTATCCACGATACCACCAATTGGCCCATCTATGTAGCCATGACCAGAGAATCGTTCCACCAGGGAAGCGAAGGCGCAAGCTGGGAAGCCAAATTGAGCGGCAGCGACTGGGGCTTTGAGCTTGGACATCTATACGTTGGAGACAATGGAGTACCGCTTACCTTGTGGCATGGTCAGGACGACCAGAACTGTCCCGTCGCCATGGCTCATAAGGCCAGGGACCTGTTGCCCGGAAGCGTATTGCACTTGAAGGGTGGCGAAGGTCCCATGAGCTATATACACCGGAATGCTGACAACATCCTGGACGATCTCATGGACGAGACGGAGAGCGAGGAGTACATGATGGTCGGTGCCGCGTAACTGTGTCGGTAGATGATATGCTGGTGTTGGACTTGGTTTCTTCTTCTTAAGTTCGTCCAACCAGGCTTTGGTCCGCATGTCAGAACCACCATTAAACCCATAGTCAACTAATCACCATTTCAAATTTGATTTTCAATGACCAGCTCAAGTAAATGAGATTGCGTGGTAATCGTGAAATTAAGGTATTATGCGCCACGCGTTGCAGCGCGGTCTAAATGGTATCCAGCGAATGTAGTAAGAATGGTATCATGCAGTAAGAAAAAGATCCAAAACCCATCAGTCGTAAGAAACAGCCCGCCCTTCTGCCGACGCCCTATAATTTGCTGAAATTCCGCGTGATCATGACGACTACACCCGCAACAATCTTGAACGCTATCTTCAGTATGAACACCACGGCCTTGAACGCAAACGTCAACACAGTTATGACTGTACGTGCGACGAGCGATAGTTTGCTTTCGTCATCAGCATTCGCTTTCTTCGCCTTCTTCTCCGATTTTGTGGCTTTCGATTTCGTATGCTTGTCTTGTCCGTACCACTCGCCCAACTCAATGTCCTTGTCGAAACTTCCCATCGCACTATCGCTACGAGTTGTTGTACTCTTCAGGCTAGAAGCAAACTTCTTCAGTCCTTTACCCGAGAGTGGCGGGCGCGACTTCCCACCGATGCCCTGGAAGCCCTCGACAAAAGAGTCTTTGAAGGCTTTTGCTGTGTCTTCCTTCTGGTGGTTCAGGGTGAAGCTTGGTGGTGGTGGCTCGAAGTTTTCTTGGCTTCGATTGCGTGTTTTGCGGCCGCGTGTAGCTTCCGCTACTGCGACTGCCAGAAGCGTTGATGTAAGAACATCAACCAAGAAGGGATTGCCAAAACGTGTCAGGGCACCAAGGTGGAGAATGAGAGCGTCGTTTGCGAAGTCAAGACGTGCGAGCATGGCATCATCGGCAGTAGCGTCGGTGGTCGTAGGAAGTTGGCCAACAGACATCTCAGAAGGTGTCATAGATACTGGTCTGGTGCCATCGAATCGCGGAGGTGGTGGTAGCGGAGAGAACGCGTTTGTCCGGGGGGTCGTTGGAGAGAGAACGTATGGGTTTAGCACAGTGATGCAGGCTGGCTTGCGTCCGGTACTTTGTGGTGTCATGGGCATGTTATGCCCGTAAAACGCCGTGATGGGTCTCGTCGAAGGAGCATTGATGACAGAACAGTCACCTTCCAGGGAGATGGGGAAGGTGCCCAATGTTGGATGATGGAGCTGATATGAACCCTCCGATGGCATATGTTGCGCCCAAGGATTTGCTTGTTGTTGAGGGTTGTCCCTCGTCCAGGCAAGAGCGCAGCACTCACGTTGCGCAGTACCAGCTAGAACATCTTCGGCCAGACGCTGTGCGGCGGGCGACTGGGCACCCGGGTCTGAAAGCGCAATACGCGATGCAGCAGGAGAGTTAGCAGCAGCATCAAGCGCCTGAAGAGCGGCCAGCTTTGGGTATATGCTAGTAAGAAGGGTGGTATCCTCTTGCTGTTGTGGGCTAAACGCTCCATTGTCTAGTGACGGAGGCGCGATAAGATCGAGATGAGCAATAGGTAAGACTCGCGGCTGGGTGGGGTGATGTCGTTGAATGAGCAGCTCGTTCATGATGCTGGGTACTTCGTGGTTACCTGCAAGGTTTGACTGTGCTACAGAGTAGAACGGTAACGATGGCGTTGTACCAAAGGTGACCGTCGGGTTTGAGGCTGTTGCGCGATGCATTCGCAGGGTATACATCTGCACACTGGGCTGTTCTTGTCCATTAGTGGCTAGCCAGAGATTGTCAAGAAGGTTGGATGGCGTGAAGAAGGGCTTTGGTGGTGGAGGAGCTGTCGAGCCGCTTGAGCGAACGTTGTTGTGAGGAATATACGACTCGGAAGAGTAGGGTGAACGACTGATCTGGGTTCGAGGTATCTGTGTGGGCGACGCTTGGGTTGGCTGATATGGTTGACGTCCAAGAGGGACTGTGGGATCATAGACTGGGAACATTGACCGCATCGGAATCTCTTCTTGCGGTGACATGCATCTTGTAGCAGAGCTATTTGCTCGGACCAGAGTCTGAGCCTCGGAGAAAGCTGGTGAAATCGCGCGAGCAGGATCTGGGCTGGCGGTGCGTTGCTGGTCGTCGATTTGATCATGGCCATGACGTTCTTGTACACGGTAAAAGCTTTCTTGCCGTCCAAGTTGTGGGGACGCAGTTTGCTGAGGCGGTGGTTCAAAGTATGGCCGACTCGTTGTATTTGACATTGGCGTTGTCGTAGCCTGTGGACTGGGGATATGTGCTCTTGGCGGGGCCGCGATGGCCGGCGGGGGCGCCATTGGGTTGGAGGGTGATACTGGCACAGAGTTGACTTGGATGAGAAGTCCGTGGAGATCAACAGGTGTTTTGGCGCTTACAGCACTCTCTGTTGCTAATGGTTCTTGACTGGCTGGCTTTGGGTGAGGAGATGGTCGTGGACTGGGACTCGTCTGTCTTGGAGCACGAGGAGGAGGAAATAATTGGAATGCTGGTCCAGCCATAATGAGTGCTTGCTATCCTACTCTCTTGATAAATGGTACCCCGAAATAACTGGCGGGACCAAACAACAGATACCGGCTGTGTAGAGAAGGGAACAAAGACTGAGAACAGCAACACCGGGAGTACGACGTCTCGGGTAATCTGGGGATAACGACTATAAGACGAGCATTCTGCGAGGCACTCCGAGCCATCGGAAGAGCCGTGGCATGCAGCCAGGGCAATAGCGGTACAAAGACGACTTCCCATGCAGGAAAACCCTCTTCTCAGCCAGGTGGTGGTCAGATGGGCCCAATCAAGCCGTGTGTAAGGCTCGGCGCTACTCAGAGTTGATGAGCGGCGGTTATATTTTGGGTGGTTGGCTGCTGGTTGCTGTAAGCGCCAACGCTGTTCACTCGCTACACTCCCCGCCGCACTAGCTTGGGATGTGAGAAAGCCTGCATCTGGCGATGATTGGTAGACGGTATGTGCCTGCCCTGCGTCGGGGTAGCATATGCATGTGACAAGTGGCCAGTCCGGCGGCCCGCTGCGAGTCGTCGATCTATTTCGAGCGCTCAAAACCTTTGCCAACATGCCACTTTCGGTGTGCATCATGAATGCTATGGGAGGGATGCCTGTTGTCGTACCTGCCCTGTGACAGCACGAAAGTCAGGACGTGGTTCTTCATTATTTTTGTAGCCGGAATTGAACTCATGAATATGTTTTCATAGTTCCACGGGCTTTGATCATGCAGCGCTGGCGGATGAAGGTCTGTTCTGGCGAAACAGCGTTTGGTGGGGTTGGGGCTTGAAGCCACCAAGCTTTCGGCGGTAAAGAGGGCTCGCACGCTGCAGAGTCGCGGTGCACGCAGCCGCCCTAACACCAAGACAACTCTGGCTCAGGCATCGCACTGGCAGCTTATCGCACAATTTACCAGGACGCAAACTGTGCAACATGGCCTGATTACAAAACTTGGTCGCTGGGTAATGTGCTGAG